TAATCCCATTTTGGAATGGGTTGTCTTTGTTATGTTAACGAGGCAGGATTAGTGTAGGGTGTATCTTGAGTCAGTCGACCCTATAAGGACACAGTAGTACTGCCCCCAAAGGATTTCCAAGGAGCAGCTGGTGGATTTGAACTGCCGACCTTTTTGTTAGCAGCAGAGCTCTTAACCACTATGCCATCAGGGCTAAATGGAGCGGAGCAGAGGTGGGGTAAGAGATGCCAAAACACATGGAGATCTCCCAGGAACCAGGAAGCAGAAGCTGAAGAGACAAGGACCTTCCCCCAGAGCCAACAGAGAGAGAAAGCCTTCCCCTAAAGCCAGCGCTCTGAATTTGAACTTCTAGCCTCCTACACTGTGAGCAAATAAATTTCTGTTTGTTTAGTATTTCTGTTACAGCAGCACTACGTAACTAAGACACCTTCATAACTCTTGTTGCTTACTCCATAAATATAGATATCAACCAGAATTCATTTTGGCCCACTTCTCTTCTTGCCATCTAATCTTGTCCTCGTTTACTTCCATGTTTTAGTCTTCCCTATATGCTGTTGGGAAGGAACCCTGTGGCGCAGACGGTTAAGCTCTTGACTGGTCGAGGTAGTAAGTATATTCGGTTGACCTCCAAAGCTGTATCCTCAGCCTTGCATTCCCTCCAGACTGACTTTCCTTCAGCTGTCCATTGGGCATCTCCACCAGGATGTATGTACTGCAGGCACTCAGAATCTGGGGATCCAAACTTAAACTAATGGTCCTTTCTTGCTTACCTGACTGGAACAGTCAGTGAATGACATACACATCCTGTTCTTCTAGCTTCTGCACACAGTCACAGTGGTCTGTGGATTCCACCACCGTAATGTGTGACATTTCCTCCTTTTTCTCATTCTACACTTCATCATATCTTCCTCCTCCTCTTCCCTCTCCCTCTCCAGACTTTTAAAACAGGATCAGGACATTCTTCAGAAGGAGATTTCCAGCCACACACATTCTTGTACTTAATAATAAATTGCACAACATGGTAGATACTGGCTCCCCTGGTATATCCTTTGGCATGTGCCCTTTTCTTTTCCTGGAATGTCCTCTTCCCCTCCCTCTGGACTGCCTTCTCCCTTTGACCCCAGAATGGCCTACCCAGGCCCCTTGATTTCCACCTCTTCTGCTTACACAGTTCCTTTCCAGTTTCATATCCTACAGTACTCTCACTCCTTTCACCTTATGCTGTTCTCTAACGACACAGGTAGCTTGTCCTTGCCTCGGGGCCTTTTGTACGTGCTCTTCTCTCTGCCTGGAATGCTCCCCGCCTACCCCGCCCCCAAGATATTCTGCCTGTGACTGGCTCCTTCCTACCATTGTTCTTGTTCTCTCCTCATATGGTGCCTCTCTGAGCAGCCTGCCCTGACTACCCTCTGAAATAGCATTCCTGTGTACACACACCCTCAGCAGGCACGCCCTCATCTACTGCCCTACTCTGCTTTCCCTGCAACACCCAAAACTGCCCAAGGTTATGTTATTTATTAGTGCTTATTTGTCCGTCTATGCCCATTAGAATGTAAGGCTCCACAAGAACCGGGACCTCGTATCTTCTTTTCTGTTCTTTACCCAGGGCATAGCTCAGCAGGCAGTCAATAAAAATGTGTTGAATAAATGATGAAATCCTTTTCATCTTTAAGGTGTGCTCACATATCTCCTCTGTAATTCTCGTAGGCTGAATTAATTCCTCTTATTTATTTAAGCCCTGGCACTTTGTATACACTTCTACCGTAGCACTTACAGCACAGAGCAGAGGTAGTTGAGCCTGACACGTCCATCTGTTTTTTCTGTGGATTATGAACTCTTTGACAGTAGGGACTTCTTAATACTCATAGTACCACCATTCCTGACATATAATAGATAAACATTTTTTTTCTTACAGTTGGTCACATTTCTTCCCTTCATTTATATTCACCAGTAGAGCCAATGGATTGTGAGGATGGCGCAGGCCCGGGCAGTGCTGAGGTCTGTTGTACATAGGGTCACTGTGAGTTGGAACCGACTTGACGGCACCTAACAACAACAACAATAGAGCCACTGTTAACGTGTGCCTGTTGTGTGCCGGGCATTGATCACTGATGATGCCACAGTGATTGGTACTGTGGCCCCTTTCCTCGTGGAGCCGCACAGTCTTTCCCTATTTCTGAATTCAGGCTTTGATAAGTCTACAAGCATTTTCATAATAGAAGACAGGTGGGATGGCTGGTTGGGGAGTCAGACCCATTTTATACAGAAGGGATCATCTATATGCCTCAGTTTCCTTTTCCATATTTCAGCTCTTCACACGGTTGAAAATAGTTAGAATCTGCCTCACTACCATCCTTGGTCTTCTCACCAAGTTGACACTAGGCAAAAAAAGAACAGAAGAAAAGTATTCCAGGCAGAGGGAATAGACCATGGGGTGTATGAGAGACTAAAAGATGGCCATTGAGACTCGATTTTACTGAGCATGTGCCGAGGAACATGGTACATGATGAGTCTGAGAGCTGGGCAGGCGCTGGACCCACATTAAGGAGTTTGGAGGTTACCATAAGAGCAATGGGAAGCCACTGAAGGCTTAGGCAGGGGGGTAACAAATCAGATTTTTAGTGTAAAAGATCCTTCTGGCTGCTGCTGTATGGGCAAAGTAGAGCCTGGGAACCATTTAAGAAGCTATTGGAATTGAATAAGAAATGATGGCAGCTTGAATTAGTGTTCTGTATGTGGAGAAGTGGACAAAGTCTAGAAATGCTTAGCGTTTAGAATTTAAAATCAGTTGGATATGGAGACACGTTAGCTAAATGGTGGAGGCAGGGGAGAAAGGAGGACAAAGATGATTCTTAGTGTTCTGTGCTACCAGAATGCATGATAATATTTCCTGAGAGGACTGTCATTGGAATAAAGAGAGTCTGATTTGGGAGGAAAAATGAGTCTGGTTTTGGTCATGTTGAATTTGAGGTGCCTTTGGGACATCAAGGAAACCTTGGTGGCGCAGTGGTTAAGAGGTACTGCTGCTAATGAAAAGGTCAGCAGTTCCAATCCACTGGGTGCACCTTGGAAACTTTATTGGGAAGTTCTACTCTGTCCGGTAGGGTTGCTATGACGACGAGTTTGGGTTTTTGGGTTTTGGGACATCGAAGGGGAGACACTAGGTAAGCCGTTGGTGGAAAAGGTCGAGAGCTCTGAGAAAAGGTCTGAGCCAGAGATAAAACTCCGTGACTCTTAAGATAGAGGTGATAATTATGCCTGGGCATGGTGAGATCGTGGAGTGAGAAAAAGGCTTCGGGATTAAGCCGTGAGGAATCCAGTATTTCATGGACCAGAGAAAGGAGGATGAGCCAACAAAGGAGACAGAAGAAATAGCAGAGGAAAATATTGGATCTTAGCGACCAGAAGGCCATTGTTGACCTCAAGTGCTGCTGAATGGAACGAGACGGCAGAAGCCAGGTGGAGGGTTGAGTGTGAGTGGAAGGAGAGGACATGAGAAAACTGATTATAGGCCTCCAAGGAACCACAGTGTGACGCAGGAGACAGAAAGAGAAACAGTTAACAGAATAGTAGGATGAGTTTGCCATGTCCAAGATGCTGTGGAGCAGAGAAGGAGCAGCCATCGGGCCCTCCTGGGAGGAGGGGAAGTCAGGGAGGGCTTCACAGAGGACGGAGGCGGTGCTTTGCTGAGACCCACCGTGCACAGAGTGAATGATGGAAATAAATTTGTCAGGCGGAGAGGAGGAGAGGGCTTTCTGGGCAAAGGCAGTGCGTGTGCAATGGCATAAATGTGAACGTGTGCATCTTGTCTCGGGATTACAGCTGGCTGATTTGGAACACAGATTGCCTGAGGAGCAGTAACAGCAGATTAATATTGAAAAGGCACCAAGGGCCAGATCATAAAACACTCAGGGGGCTGGAGTGAGGTATTGGTAATTTACTAGTACCAATGCTTGTCAGCTTAGCTTTGGAAATACTCTCAGTTGCAGAAGAAAGTAATGCAGCAAACGCAAACTTTTCTTTCAAATTTCACATTAAAAATATCTAATGAATTTTACATGCTAGTTCAGAATATATCTGCTTGAATTTTTATATATAACTGTCTTAAGTTATTTTCAGTTGAGTAAAAATACCAATGCTTGTCAACTTAGCTTTGGAAATACTCTCAGTTGCAGAAGACAGTAGATGCAGAAGAAAGTAAATGCAGCAAACGCAAATTTTTCTTTCAAATTTCACATTAAAAGTATCTAATGAATTTTACATGCTAGTTCAGAATATATCTGCTTGAATTTTTATATAAAAGCGTCTTATTTTCAGTTGAGTAAAAATGACTCCAGGAACATAGGCCTTGTTGATTCTGTGGCTTTGGGTAGCCCTTGCACACTACCTAATACAGCATCTTCCCACCCGCACCCCACTTGAGAGTGTCTGTTGGTGATGAGCAACCACCGAAGGACAGGGTCAAGGTCAGATTCACGTTATGGGAAAAGTACCATGTTGTTCAGTGGAGGATAGGTTCAGGGTGGGTAAAACTAGAGATAGGAGGCTATCCAAGTGGTCTGGGTAAGAAAGAATGCAACCTGAACTGTAAAAAATGAGGATAGAGAGGAGGGGATGATGAGATTTGGGGAGTAGAACTGGCATCCATGGTGACTTTAGAAGATGTGAAAATGAGGTTCACAGAGCATTTTAGGATGATTCCCCAATGTTTGACTTGGGCATTGGCTTGGGAAAATAGGAGAGAGCATATATATGTATATATGCTGAGGAGGAACCAGTAGTGTAGGGGAGGAGATGGAAAGTACAAGAGAGTACAAGGCCTGGTGCCTCACACATAGTAAATACACTGTCGGAACATTTGTTGCATGAATGACTTGTTTGCTATTAAATTTCTCAGTCTCAATTTCACAGGTGAAATTTGTTTTATGGCCTGCATGCTTTGTATACTTCATCATAGTTTTCATGAATTTTTTGGGGGGGGGGATGTTTTGTTTTTTTAGCCTCAAAATATTTTGCTGACAAGTGACTCTCCATTGGGTGACATTAAGATCGTTGATTTTGGCCTTTCAAGAATAATGAAGAACAGTGAAGAGCTCAGAGAAATTATGGGAACTCCTGAGTATGTGGGTAAGTATTCTTAAGACTGGGATGGTTTTATGTTTTAGATCAGGAATCACCTTCCAACTAGGTACCTCACATGTGTTATGATTAATAGTGGTGCCAGACATCTGTTATCCTGAAATTCTGCTATTAAGAGATTCATTCCTTTGGATTAAGTAAAAAAAAAAAAAAATGGAAAACTTCTAAGAGTGAGGTATCAAGTTGGTGATCCTTTCCTGGAAGGCTAAGAGAATTTGAAGGGATCACTTCTAAAAGGAATAGGAGAGGATTTCCTTAATAAAGTAAGGCATCCGGTTATCTGAGAGTAGAATGAGATTCAACAAGTAATGACCTTTAAAGGAGTTCAAGTTGGTAATAAACATTGTTAAAGTCATCACAGATGTAGTGATTCCATAGGTGTATAGAGCAGAGAGGGCATTCAGTTGGACTGATGCAAGGTAGAGGGTTTCTGGCAGGAAAAATAAAAAAGACACTGAAGGTACCAGCAAGAGAGCGGCCGAAGGAATGCATCATGAGTTCTCTAGAGTAGGTAGAAAAAGAAGTAAACTATGACTTTTTCAGTAGACTGGGGGAAAAGGTGGGGTGTGTGGAATTTGAAGGATTAGTGGTGTGCAGGAGATTTTTTTAAAAAGCATATGTAGTAGAGTAAGGCAGTAGAGTAATTTACAGCTTGTGACCAGAGACTGTAATATTAACATTTAAAATTTCAAAGGTGAAACAGTTCTTAGTAATTAGGAGGCCGCAGCTGCAGCTCTGGAAGGCAGCTGTTAGAGCAGGAGGTGGCTATGTGGATGACGGTGTTAAAGTTGCCCAGGATGATAGTAGGCCTTGGAGTGGAGGAGGATGGCTGTGTCAGTAGATGACAGCAACATGACCAGGAGTTATGAAGACTGTGGCCTGGGCCTGAAGGGAAGAAGAATCTTTGCATGAGGCTAGAGGTGTGAAGTGGGTGGGTGGACCAGCTGTCCTCATTCCAGAGGCCTCAGGGCATGGGGAGCCTGAGAGAGAGCCAGGTCTTGTTTCAGAGAAGGACAAAAAGGAGGACCAAAAAAACCAAACCCATTGCCATCAAGTCCTTTTCCACTCATAGCAACCCTACAGGACATTGGGAATTTATTTACAAGGGAAAAAGATTTCTAGAGGACACAGAAAGACAAGAGGGCAGACAGGCTTTAGGAAAGCATAAGGCTGTATGGCAATGATAGTACACAAAATAATTCAAAGTTTTAACATAATTGTTTTTATAAAATCTGAGACTTTAAACAGATCCTTAACTAATTAGGTTAAGAAGTGATGTCACAGGCAGCAGAACAACCTACCAAAATTGTATGTGCTTTTTTTTATGGACTAGAATATTTAGTTTTCAGTATGCTAACTGGTACACATTATGACCACTAAATAATTTTTAGGAATGGTCTTTGTGTGTAAGATCTTCATCGTTTCCTTAATATTTTAAGATTGTGATATTTTTTGTCTTTGACTTGGAATTGTTTAGGAAAGCATTTTAAAATTTATAAATGTTTTTTAGGTTTTGTTTCTGTTTTTGCTTTTTATTTCTAATTTTATTGAATTGTTAGAGTTTTTTTATTCTATATTTTGGAATCTATTGTGGATTCTTTTATGGTCAGTTTCTTAATATTTCATGAATCATTAAGAAGTAGGAGAGTATTTTCAGTTTGCAGGACCTGAATTTTTCAAAAGTCTATTAGCCTTATTGTATTGTTTAGATTCTTTATATTATTTCTGTCTACTTAATCTGTTAAGAGCTGACAGAGGTTATGTTAAAAGTTCTTCATTACTATTGTGTTATCTTCATTTCTTATACAGCAAATTTTGTTTTATGTATTTTAATGCTGTGTAATTAAGTACCTCATTATAAACTAATTTTTGTCCTATTTAATGGCTTTTTACCTTTAAATTTGTTAGTTAGAATGTGTCAGAAAATGGTTTCCTTGCCCTCTTTTTCTGTCTTCATTCATCTGGCTTCAAGACTTCAGTTGAGCCTTTTTTTTTTTTTCTTATTATTAAATCCTCAAGTTATTTTCTTTTAATAGTGAGTTTATGCCTCCCACATTCATTTTATTTATGCACACATACACACATATATATATAGACACACAGTTGCCTTGGTGTGAGTTCTGGCTATGTGACCTAAATCTCTTTATACCTCAGCTTTCTCTGTCAATAAAATGGGGCTAGTAATAGTACCTACCTCTTAGGGAACTGTAGGGATTACATTGGAATTGCTATATAAAGCTCTTAAAACATAATAAGCAATTAAAAAACTAAGTTATTATTTCCTGTTTCCCTTCCCCCACCAATCTTTTGCTCTGTGATATCTCCATTTTACTTTTTCCAGTAGATTTGGAAAACTCATTTCATTTTTAATTTCCTAGTCATTTCTTTTAAACCTTGTAAATAATATTCGTAACCTCTGTTTCTCAACAATTTCAGAAATCAAAGATGAGGAGATTAGCATACCTCACATTTTTTCCCAACTTCTTTCTCCCTCATGTCCACTGGGGCTTTGCCCCAAACCAGTAATGGATGTGGATTTTGGATACTTAGTTTTTTTTCTAGAATTAGAACACTTTCTTTCTGTTTTTTTAATTGTAATTACCACAGTTTTTTAGCCTTTGATTTGTTTTTAATGGACCAGTACTTAACCACCTGTGTTTTCCTACCCTAGTTTTCCTACTTGTATACTTTTGGGTGAAAAAATCATCTTTTGGTTAGCCAGATTGTATCATTGAGTAAATTTTTCTTTTTCAAGGAGCGTTTTCATAATATTTCTCCTGAGTCCTTGCACATTTGAGAATGTCTTTATATGTGACCATAATTTAGTTAAATATTATCAAAGCATATTAATTTTCTGAAAACTCTGTAATATAGATGCACTTCATTGCCTCCATGTGATGCAGTGTCATCTGAGTCTCTTTTATCTCTAGAAGCAAATTAGGAATTTTTTTCATAAAACTAAATTTTACCTTCTGCTTCTTACACTAGCTCCTGAAATTCTTAGTTACGATCCTATCAGCATGGCAACGGATATGTGGTAAGAATTATTTATGAAAAATTAATTAAATTATTTTCCAGAAATTAATATGATACTAATTTTTCTTAAACTTTCTTTCCAATTTAGGAGCATCGGAGTGTTAACGTACGTCATGCTTACGGGGATATCGCCCTTCTTAGGGGATAACAAACAAGAAACATTCTTGAACATCTCACAGATGAATTTAAGTTTTTCTGAGGAAGAATTTGATGTTGTGTCAGAGTCAGCTATTGACTTCATCAAGGCACTTTTAGTTAAAAAACCTGAGTAAGTATTAGTTAACATCAAGGTTGTCAGTTTTTAAGTGGGTGAAACAAAAGCAGTTTAAACACAGAAACACCAAAATGAAAATGTAGACAGAAAACATATATATCAGTGGAAATAAAAAGTGGCAAAAATGAAAATTGTTTTAGAAAATGTAAACCACACCTCAGTAAAATAGGCTTTAAAAGTTAGTTAGCAAAATTGTGTTATTGCAAAGGTGTCCTGTTGAGAATGGCACTTATAAGTCATGGTTACTAGAAATTGACGACAGAATGACAACTGATCCCTAACAGATATACCTGTCCATCTGTTCTTGGACTTTCAAGAGGGCTTTCTAGAGATACCATACTGGTGGCACAGTGATTAAGAGCTCAGCTCCTAACCAAAAGGTCGGCAGTTTGAATCCACCTGCTGTCCCTTGGAAACCCTATGGGGCAGTTCTACTCTGTCCTGTAGGATCATTATAAGTCAGAATTGATTTGACAGCAGTGGTTTTTTGGTTTTTTCTTTTTTTAATTAAAGTATTTTTCAACATTATGGAGAATTGAATGCAAATGTCAAAACTTCTAGTTTTATTCAGGAATCTCAGTAGGATTTTTGCCAACTCTTAATACTTTCCAAAATAAAATATAATAAATGTAGTATCTTATATTCTAATTCCTAATGGAAGTTTTAACTATGTTGTCTTAAGTGTAAATGTATGTCTTTATACAGAGATCGAGCCACCGCTGAAGAATGTCTGAAACATCCATGGTTAACACTGAGCAGTATTCAAGGTCCTTCTCTCAGGGTGAAAGGTGCATTAGAAGAAGCACATGGCCTCCAAGAAGGTGATTCTGTGCCTGAAATTAACTCAGATACTGAGAAACCAGAAACCGAGGAAACAGTTCTAACAGAGGAGTTAATTGTAGTTACTTCATATACTTTAGGGCAATGCAGACAGTCTGAAAAAGAGAAAACGGAGCAAAAGGCCATTTCCAAACGATTTAAATTTGAAGAACCTTTGCTGCAAGAAATTCCAGGAGAATTTATCTACTGAGCAGTATTTCCCTCTAGAACTTAATTTTCCTACATTGAAAATGTTAATATTATTTATGGACCTCTGGCCAAATGATAAACATGTACTGAAAGTAGATAACCAGGTGTCACTGATATAAACTAAAGTAACTTTGTCAAACTTACGGAGTTAGGCGAATCAAGCCAGATTCATTAAGTTGCCAACCAGGTTGTTTAACAGGTAAAGTTATCTGTTTCAATGTTACTTGTGAGAACGGAAACATTTGCACCTTTTAATTCTACATCCTGTTTGTCCAGATTGAGAGTTTGTGTGCAAAGTTATTTGTATATACACGCTTTCTTCAAAAATCCAGTAAAAGTGCCAAAATTACATCTTTGTCAATCTATTTTGCATTATTCATATGTGTATCTATGTGTGCATATATATATGTTGATATCTTTACTGAAATTGATACTTTTTCACTTTGGATTTTGTGTGTGTGTAAGAGATTTTAATTTAAATAGAAGTCTTCCAAATTTTTGAGACCTAGAATAACATCCATTATAATGTCTTAATTTTGTATTTTATTATGGCTTTATATTGACTTGATTTGGCTTCTGTTATCTTTTTTGTCTGATGCTTGTAACCTGTCAGGGAAAAACCCTGGCTAATTTGTTTTTCTCCCTCAGTACCACTAGTAGGAGAGGTGGTGATTTTTCACCTCTGAAATTATTCTGGGTTTCAAAGTCATGGTTAAGTAACCTTACAATGTTAAACCAGTGTCAGTTTTTCAGCCATTTCCCTCACACCATGCTCATCTACTTTCACGGGCTACACCCCTGCCACCTCCTCACCCCTCCCACATATTTGTCCCTTACTTTTGGGCACTTGCCGGTGTCACTGTGATCTGATCAATACTATGGTTGCTTTGATCAGTGAAAAGACCGCATGTTTTTGTCCCAAAGTCAGAGCAGGAGAAGAGACGTAAAAGCATATTCATTATTTCCACTGAGCCTTTATGTCTGTTGAGTTCCTTATCAGCCCTCATGCTACACTAGGAAAAGTTATAAGATGCCAAAGTATTTATAGACCTTTACTTTGTCCATATAAAAAACTGAAATTGAACAGTGTCATTAAGGAGGTATCTTGTCCCAAAAGAGTTAAAAGAGGATACTCAACAGAGTTTAATTTGATTAAGATTGAACACTTCAGTTGTCTCTAAATCACACAGTGGGCAGTAAATTCCTATTTAAAAAAATGAAGTGGAAGAAGATATGATTCCTGTCATGGATTGAATTGTGTCTGTATCAACTTGGCTACGCCATGATTCCCAGTATTGTGTGGTTCTCCATTTTGTGATGTGTTGTAAATCCTAGCCTCTGTGCCTGTGGTTATGGTCACATTTGGGAGAGAGCTATTTGTTATGTTAATGAGGCAGGATTATGTTGTGTTAATGAGAATTTGGGTGGGATGCAACACCCTTACTCAGGTCACAGCCTTGATGCCATGTAAGGGAGGTTTCCCTGGGGTGTGGCCTGCATCACCTTTTATCTTACAAGAGATAAAAGGAGGGAGAAGCGAGCAGAGAGAAAAAGGGACCCGACTACAACCAAGAAAGAGGAGCCAGGAGCGAAGCACATCCTTTGGACCTGGGGTTCCTGCCCTGAGAACCTCCTAGACCCAGGGGACAATTGATGGCAAGACACATGGAGATCTCCAAGGAACACCAGGCCCACAGATGCTGAAACGAGACAAGGACCTTCCCCCAGAGCAGACAGAAAAAGCCTTCCCCTAGAGCTGGCGCCCTAAATTCGGACTTCTAGCCTTCTAAACTGAGAGAATAAATTTCTGTTTATAAAATCATCCACTTGTAGTATTTCTGTTACAGTAGCACTAGATAACTAAGACAATTCCTAACCTAAAGTAACTAAATATCTTTCCACAAAAAAAGTCTGAAAGTCCTTATTTGTTCTTGATTGGGACTCAGTGTTCTCCATACTTGTCAGTACAGCTTGTCATCTCTGTGCTGTGGACAGCTTGGACTTCTCCTCCCCCATGTCTGATTGAGGTGTCACCCAGCACTTCCTTCCTAGTATGATTTCTGAAATGTCACGATCATGACAGTGACAGTAACCACCTTTTCTGCAGTGCATTCAGTGTGCTGTGCTAGACTGACCTGCAGGGAGAACCTTTCAGGCCCTGAGAATTGTTCAGACGCTGTTCCACGAAATCGAGTAGTCAGTTCAGAGAATCAGGCTGCACTATTTCCTCACTGAATTGGCTTTATCTGTACAGTTTCTTAGAAGCTAGCATTTCTAAACAAGTTCTAGAAGGGAAGAGGAAATGGCAGAGGTTTCAAATTAAAACCCATGGCCACAATGTTTTAAAACTTAGGTAAGTCTCTTAAAAGAAATAAAACACAATTTTAGGCAAAATTGTGTAAATATCTCCCTAACAAAAAAGGGTTTAAAGAGAAGAAGGGAAAAAACACTATCGAATGACACATATTTGTACTTGATGGATTTGTCAGATTTTAGAATTAGAATCATTTGAGCAGCACTTAAACTTCTTCCAAATGATTTTATATTCCACTCAAATACTTTTAATATAATTTATTGTATGTGTAAAAAGGTTTCTTTTTAGCTGGACACTTTGCAATATGCTACATATCCTTAGCTGCTTTTGTACCTTGAATTTCAAGTTGTGTGCTTTTTTTAGAAGTCCTTCAGAATATACTTGTATAAAGATAGCTTTTGGTTTTTTGGTTCATATGATATAAACCGAGGAGGAAGAATCTTCACAATACTGGACCAAATAAAATCTTTCATTAATGACTTATCAGCCAGCTTCTCACTTACCTAAAGTTGCTAATTTTTTTTATTACTAAGTTACAAAAGACTAAAACAGTACTATTGAGATTACTCATACAGTTTATAAATCCAGTTTCAATTATATTAAAATTCAATATTAGATAATGGAGCAAGATGGCAAAGTGTGTGCATGCCCCCACCTACTCCCCCAGCAACTAACACTGAACAGTGACTGAAAACAAGCACAGACAGATCTCAGAACTCCATACAAGCACTGAGGAAATGGAGAATCGGGGTGAGTCCTGAAGCAGGGGAGAGGAGGAACGGGATCAGCCCAGAAACTGAGATCCTACCCACTAATATCGGGATTTCGAGCTCGTAGCCGTTTTGCGACAACGGGGTAACACCCCAAGCAGGTAACACAGAAAGGAAGCTTATCTGAGGAAGTTCTAGCCAGAATTTTTGTAAGGCAGCGCAAATTGGCCATGGGAGCTCATAGGCTGTGCAAGTGGGAGGGGGCAAAGGAAAACCTTAATGCTGTGCAAGAGTACTGTTGACCCTTGCTAAGGCCCAAAACTAATGGGCACTAGGACTAGGAAGAGCTGTAAGGGCAACAGGGCAAGGAGAATGGTCCAGACAGGCAAGCTGGAGGCGGCCCCCAGTGGGACACCATGGATAGTGGGTGTGCCAGTGAGGGAAGACATAAAAACCCTTACCATCACCACAATAAAGTGGATCCCCACTGCACACACCAGCAGAGGCATCCAGTGAAACCCGTCCTCCCACACATGCATGTTGAATCCCAGAGCCCAAGCATACAGAACTCCTGAATTTTCCCACAATAAACAGAATAAAAGAAGATAACAAAATGGCTCAAGTGCAACAAAAACTAGCAAACACAAGGCACAAGAAAAGAAGCACTCAAAAGCAAAACATGAAGAAGAGGAAATCTCCAGTGGAGGCCAGAATAATGCAAAGAATTGATAATTTTCAGACTGTGGTGCCAAATATGTTCAAAGAAAGTAAAAAGCAAAAAACCAACTGGCGAAGTTCAGGAAGCAAATGGAGAAACAAAATGAGAGATTCAACAAGGAATTTGAAAAAAAAAAAAAGAAACTGAAAAAACATCTGAATTAGGAAAAGCAAGAGAAACACTCAACAATAAGGTCAAACAAGTGGAGGATAGAAAATCTGAATTGAAAGACAAAATATCTGAACTTATCAAGTCTCAAGAGAAATAAGAGAACAAAGAAAAGCAAAACCAAAAAGAAATGTGGGATTCAATTAAGAAATCTAACATTAGAATTAGGAATCCCAGAGTACCACAACAACAATAAAGGCATAGAAACAATCTTCCAAGAGATAATCAGAATTTCCCAGACCTAAGCAGAGAACCAAGCCTGCAAATACAGGAAGCTACAAGAACCCCAATCAGAAGAGACACAAAAAGATAAAACTCTGTGACATAGCCTAATGAAATTCTTGAAAACCAAAGACGAGAGAATTTTGAAAGCAGCAAGAGAAAAACACAATTTAACATACCAAGTGTCTTTCATAAGAATCAATGTGGATTCCTCTCCAGAAACTCTAAAGGCCAGAAGACAAGGGAGCAACGTATATAAAACACTGAACCAAAACAATTCACAACCAAGAATACTTTACTCAGCAAAGCTGTCATTCAAAAAGAAGCTGGAAATCAAGACATTCCCAGACAAACAGAAACTCTAGGAATTTGCCACTACCAGACCAGCTTTGCAACTATTACTCAAGGGAGTACTCCAAATGGAAAGGCAAGAACATTAAGAAATAAGTACAAACTAAACCTCTCAAATATAGGTTGTATATTGATGTTAGTGGAGACACACCAACAGAAATGGGGCAGGGAGGACCATATCAGGAATAGATTTACTATGTTAAGGTTGTATGTTAACAGTTATTCTTATGCTAGATGCTGTAGTTAATTGTAAGTCATGTAATGTATTGTGATAACCACTAAGAAATCACTAAGAAGAAACACTCAGGAGAAAAGCAAGTTAACAAAAAGGCTCATCACAAGAAAGCACCCAAATACAAACAACAAAAATCAGTATAATAAACAAGATATGAAACACTCAAAAAACAAATAACAAAATGACTGAGTAGACAATAACCTTAAATGTAAATGGTCTAAACACCCCATGCAAAAGGCAGAGAGTGGCAGAATAAAAAAACCTGACCCATCATTTTGCTGTCTACAAGAAACCCACCTTAGACACAAGGACACAAACAGACTGAAAATAAAAGGATGGAGAAAAATATTCCATGCAACTAGTAAACAAAAAAGAGCAAGGGTAGCCATACTGATATCAGATAAAAGAGACTTTAAATCAAAATCTGTTACAAGAGATAAAGGATATGACATGATAAAAGGGTCAATTCAGCAAGAAGACATAACAATTATAAATACATACGCACCTAACAGCAATGCACCAAAATATGTGAAACAAATCTGACTAATATGAAAGGAGAAATAGACAATTCTATACCACTTTCAATTATAGACAGAACATCTAAAAAGAAAATCCCTAAAGACATTGAGAAGTTAAAACCAACAAGCCAACTGTACCTAACGGACATATATAGAACACTCCACCTAGCATCAGAACAATACACATTCTTCTCCAGCACACATGGATCATTTTCCAGAACAGACCATATGCTAGGTCACAAAACAAGTCGCAACAAATTTAAAAAGACTGAAATCATACAAAGCAACTTCTCAGACTGTAACGGTATGAGACTAGAAACCAACAGCAGGGTAAATAAGGAAAAAAAAAATTACATGGAAACTAAATAATACACTACTAAAAAATTATTGGGTCATACAAGAAATCAAAGGATTGCAAGGGTAGTTCAACATCAGAAAACCTATCAATGTAATCCACCACATAAATAAAACAAAGGAAAAGAACCACACGATCATATCAATCAATGCAGAAAAGGGATTCGATAAAATTCAACACCCTTTTCTGATAAAAACTCTCAGCAAAATGGGAATAGAGGGGAAACTCCTCAACATAATTAAGGGTGTATATGAAAAACCAACAGCCAACATCATTCTCAACAGAAAAGGCTGACTGAAAACCTTCCCCCTGAGAACATGAATGAGACAAAGATGTCCATTG